ATAACCATTGATAGATGACCATAGATAGATAAATGATAAAGAAAATGTGATGTATAACTATAAATATATATATGTGAATATTATTCATCCATAAAAATAAAGTATATTTTGCCTTTTGCAATAACACTGATGGACTGCAAGGGCATTATACTGAGCGAAATGTCAGACAGAGAAGGACAAATATGGTATGATTCCACTTATATGTGATTTCTAAAAAACTAAAATAAAAATCTGACTCAGGTACCAAGAAAAGATTAGTGGTTGCCAGAGGCAGTGGGTAGAGAGTAGGTGCAATGGTCCAAAGCTGTAAATTTTCAGTTACACATAAGTCTTGAAGCTCTAATGTACAGAATAGTGTCTATAGCTAACAATATTGTATCGCAGGTTTAAAAGTTGGTAAGAGAGTAGATCTTAAAAGCTTTCACTACAAGAAAAAAAAATTGTAATTGTGTGAGATGATGACTGTTAGCTAAACTCACTGTGGTAATTGTTTCACAAAATATACACATATTAAATCATTATATTGTACACCTAAAATGAATACAATTGTTATATATCAATTATAACTCAAAAAAATAAATTTAAATAAAAAGGTAAAATGGAGGGAATTCCCTGGCAGTCCAGTGGTTAGGACTCCATACTTTCACCACCATGGGCCTGAGTTCAACCCCTGGTCAGGGAAACAAGGTCTCCCAAGCCACACGGTGCAGCCCTTTCCCCAAAATAAAAGACAAGATAGGGGGACCACAAGAGTATAAAAATGTTGATAATTGTTGAAGCTGATAATTGTTGACCTAATTAAGACTGAGGTTGATTATACTATTAACTCTATTTTGGTGTATGTTTACATTTTTTCCACAAAAAAAGTTACAGAAAAAAATGGAGCTGTTTTTAACCTGGGATGGTGTAAGTTACTGATTGGGAGTACATTAAAAGTTGGTTAAACATTAAGGTAATGTTTGTTAACAGCAAAAAACACAACTCACAGTGTAACTACATTAACCCATTATATTTACTCATATTGTATAAATAAGTAAGTGAATGAAAGTGAAATTCACTCAGTTGTGTCGAACTCTTTGTGACTCCCTTTGGAATTCACCAGGCCAGAATACTGGAGTTGGTAGTCCTTCCCTTCTCTGGGAGATCTCCCCAACCAGGGATTGAACTCAGGTCTCCCGCATTGCAGGCGAATTATAAATTATTATAATGAGCAATGGTTGTAAAGTTTCACATTATATTTCTTGAGATGGTTGATTATTAACTGGATTAGTGAGTAAGTTTTAAACCATTAGCTGATAAAGTGGGTGATAGATAAATTGTCCTGCATATACAGAAAGGCTATCTAAATATTTTATTTTCATAAGGAAACAAGCTCAGTGAACAGTAACGCCGGTTCAACTACGTGGGAAAGCACATGGCTCACGTGTGCCCCTGGCAGAAGCCCCAGCACAGGGAAGAGCAGGTGCTGTTTTCCAACAACACCTCCTTGTGTGTGTCCCGATACTATAGTTAGAAAATGGCTCGAATTTTTAGTTGCTTTTCCCAGAACTCAAACATCGCTTTCCTGTTTATCTTGGTGGGATGCCTATATTATACTTGTGATTTTTCTGCTCTCTGTAACCTATTAAAACAAGATTGTCACAGATGGGAAAACAAGAGGTCATTAGTTAACAATCAGATGTTTGATTTCCTGAGCAGAAAAGACACTCTCTTGTGCATTTTAAACATTTTTAAAGGAGAAATAGGACTAGTCCCTTGAAGATAAAGCCTGTTCCCTGGGTTTTCCTCAAGAGTCAACAGTCACTTTAAATTCATTTCCTCACTTAACTCTGTCCTTTGCATTTAACCTCAGCTCTGCCTTTTTTTTTTCTGAAGGCTCTTGTCAGTTCATAGAGGTTACTGCTGTATAGTTTCAGTAAACATTGCCAGAAGAACACAGGAAAACCAAAGAGGTGGACAGTGAGCTTTGGTCCAAGTTGGTCTGATATGGTGATGACAGCAGTTCTACTTTTTTAATTCTTTCTTTGATTTTTAGAACAGTTGATTTTGATTAGATTTGGGGGAAGGGAATGAGTTGTACTAATTCCTGGCTTGGGGAGACACAAGCTTTTGTTCTCCCTGAAGTATTAGGTAACACTCCTAGTGCTACTCATTTCATTGTCTTACTCCTTTCATTTTCTATAAATGGACATAAGAATAGTCATCATCTCGTGATTATAAAGATTAAATGAGTTAATATTTGTAAAATGCTTAAAACAGAGATTTTGGCACAAAGTAACCTCTATAGGGTTTATAAGATAAATTCCTGCATGGCAGTGTAGATCTTCTCTATAATATTTGAATAAATGACAACAGCTACATTGTTAGGAGTTCTAGGATCTCCTTGGTGAACTGGTCATTCACTGGCTATTGCATGGTCAGCAGATAGTTCGGTGAAACTTCACTAATTTGGAATAAATTTACAGATTACTAAACCTGAATAAGTGAAAACTCTGAAATCAGTGATCTTTGTTAAGTATTTGAAACATTTTATATTCGTTCTACTCATGGAAGCGTTGAAAGTGTCACATTCGACTAAGTATCTTCAACATAGACATGTTTAGTTTGTGATTTTGTATACTTAATTGGAACAAAATGAAAGCTAATAAAGGTTTTGATATGGACAGCTATTAAGTAGATATCAGTGAAATATATGGAAAAAAAAGCATACCGAGATATAAATACACTTCTTTGAATGCCATAGACATAAATAGGAAGTTTCAAAGATATAGCTGGACTACTTTTAATATCTACAAAAAATTAAATTTAGAAGAATCAAAGTCTTTGTAGAATAACTGCATCTTAGTAAATGTGAGAATAGTTAAGGATCAGTTATCATTACTACGCAAAGTCAAAGAAGTTTTAGATTTCACTTGTATCGAAATTACATTTTATTTTTATAATTCGCATACATCAAAATGTTTTAAAAGCTAACTTTTAAAAGCCATTTTTAAGACTTCCTAAATTAATCTATTTGAAATCTTGATTAGTGCAATGGGCAGGGCTCTGCTTAGTCGCAGTCCTCTCCGGCTCTTTGCGACCCCATGGACTGTAGCCCACCAGGCTCCTCTGTCCATGGGATTCTCCAGGCAAGAATACTGGAGTGGGTTGACATGCCCTCCTCCAGGGGATCTTTCCCACCTAGGGATCGAACCCAGGTTTCTCATATTGCAGGCAGATTCTTTACCATCTGAGCAATTCCTTTTTCTTTCTTCCCATTCCACCCTACCCGGTTCTCTGTCTTAGGGCATTTACTCTGAACTCCAGGTTGTCATTATTTGTTTACATTTCTGCCTCCTGCATTGAACTATATACCTCCTGAGTGTACATAGAGTAACTATTTCACTGGTGTGACTCTTGACAGTCTGGTAGGCAGCATGCTCCTAGTACACTGCCAGGTTCCTCTGTCCATGGAATTCTCCAGGCAAGAACACGGAAATGGGTAGCCATTCCCTTCTCCAGGGGCTCTTCCTGAGCCAGGGATCGAACCTGGGTCTCCTGCATTGCATGCAGATTCTTTACCACCTGAGCCACGAGGGAAGCTCAATACAGTGTTAAACAGTCTAATTAGTAATTTATGAAACAATGACACTTTATTTAATAAAGCTCTGGGAAAAGTTGGATATACATCTGAGATAGATCCAAGTCTTGATTTTTCACAGAGCTGGATTTTTAGTTTGGTTTGGAAATTGAAGCTGTGGACAAAATACTTACTTGAGTATTCTAAAGGTCAAGCTAATTGGAATTACTGTCCTCTTTCACCAGATTGGATCCCCAATATACTGTTTACTTATATGGCAGAATTTAATGACAGTTTTAAGTTCTATGTAGTTCATCAAGAGTTTTTGGATTCAGACCAGTTTTTCTAAAAACATTCTATAAAGTGAGTAATTCCTTATAGTCTTCTGCTTTTAACCTCACACATTTCAGCTCTTGTGCTGTTAATTTCAAGGATTGCTGAAGTTACCAGCAGTCTATTCAAATGATACACAAGTCTAACACAGCATTTCCCACGTTAGCATGTGCTCAAAAAAAGACTAAAAATCTAAATCACAGCCCTTTTTATTCTAAAAATAAATGGCAGGCAGAAACACCCTTGGATTATTTCTGGTAAGGTTTTTATGTTCTACAAAAGAAGGAATTGTATTCATCAGCATAGCACATATTTTAATAACAGATATTTTTGTTTAAGAAGTCTTAAATGTAGTAACGCTTATTTGCCACCCCTCTTGCCCCGCCCCCATCCACTTTTCAGGAGTCGTTGCAGCAGTTTTGAGCTTAAGTGCCTGAATGTGGACACTGAAGTGAGCACTGAAGTGAAGTCGCTCAGTCATGTCCGACTCTTTGCGACCCCAGGAACTGTAGTCCACCACGCTCCTCCGTCCATGGGATTTTCCAGGCAAAAGTACTGGAGTGGGTTGCCATTTCCTTCTCCAGAGGATCTTCCAGACCCAGGGACTGAACCCGGGTGTCCCGCATTGTTGGCAGACGCTTTACCATCTGAGCCACCAGGGAAGGCCTAAAACTGAGCACTGATTACCTTAATTAACTAGGTAGCCAAACATTTTTTCACGAGGTTTTAAACTCGGCAATATTTCACAGGGCTTAAAAATGGTTTAAAGAAACACACACCACACTTCAGTACCTTTAAATTTGGCTCAAAATGGGCACAGGGGCTTGGGTTGACACCACACAATACTTATTTTTGCTTTTAACTATTTCAGGCCTTCTTGAAATACAATACACCTTGTTTTCGTGTAATGGAAAAAGGAGCCTTGGAATCTTGCAGAATCTGATTCCTGGATTCAGTTCCAGTTCTGCGTGACCTTGGGCAAGTTTCTTTACTTCTCTGAATTTCCGTTTCCTCCGACGCAAGGCGACGATGGCAACAGCCACCTTGCAACCTAGTCTGGAGCGCGCCTGGAACACACCCAGTTGGTCCCACACAAACAGCAGCCATATTAAGGCCGCCCAGCTCCGCGGCGACTCCGCGGCCGCGCTCTGCCCAGCAGGTGTAGGCACCGTGCGGGCGCGGCCCCCACGTTTCCGACGCTCGCGGGCCTGCCCCTCCGCGTCCCCGGCCCGCTCGGGGCGGGGTCGGCGGGGGCGGGGGGCGCCGGAGCCGGCTCGGAGGCCCGGCTGGCCGAATGCGGGAGCGCGGAGGCGGCCCCGGCGCCGCCCCGGCCCAGGCGCGAACGCGCGGCGGCCGCCCCCTCGGCCCTCCCCTCGGCCTGCCCCGCCCCCCGCCTCGCGCGCCGCCCGCCCGGGTCGCCGCGGGGCCGTGGTGTACGTGCAGAGCGCGCAGAGCGAGTGGCGCCCGCACGCCCTGCGCTGCTCCGCGGGCCGGGCCCGGCCGCCCGGAACGCTGAGGCGGCGGCGGCCAAGGCGGCGGGTCTCGCGCGCCGGGCCCGCGTGCCCGAGCGGAGGGCGCCGTCCGCCTCGCAGGCCGCGCTCCCTCAGCCCGCGGCGGTGATGAGGCGCTGAGGCGGCGGCCGGCGCTGCGCGGCGCGACCGAAGGACGAGGACGCGGCCGGGCCGAGGGCGCGGGGCGCCGGTCTCCTGAGGCGAGGGGCGGCGGGCGCATGGCGCAGTGACGGCCCCTGCTGCTCCGCCCGCTCCCCGGCCCCAGGCTAGGCCGTCCGGCCGCCACCCCTCCTGCTCGGCCGCCGCCTCCACCGCCGCCGCCATGGCCAATGACAGCGGCGGGCCCAGCGGGCCGAGCCCGAGCGAGCGAGACCGGCAGTACTGCGAGCTGTGCGGGAAGATGGAGAACCTGCTGCGCTGTAGCCGCTGCCGCAGCTCCTTCTACTGCAGCAAGGAGCATCAGCGCCAGGACTGGAAGAAGCACAAGCTCGTGTGCCAGGTCGGCGAGAACGTTCCTGCCCCCGGCACGGGCCAACCGCAGCAGCCGGGCCGCGCGCCGCCGCCCAGGGCCGCCGGAGCCAGGGAGGCCAGGAAGGCGTTGCCGCGCCGGGACCGAGCCGTCGAGGCCGCGGGCCCGCGGGCCTCCGGAGACGCGGCCAAGGCGAAGGCGAAGGCCAAGCCCACGGCCGACCCCGCGGCGGCCGCGTCCCCGCCCCGCGCGGCCCCCGGCGTCCAGGGTCGGGTAGCGGCGGCCGCCGAGGCGGAGTCCGCGAAGGAGGAGCTGCTGGCCCGCCCGTCGCTGTACCAGGAGAAGGCGAACCTGTACCCGCCGAGTAACGCGCCGGGCGAGGGGCTGAGCCACGGCGGCCTGCGGCCCAACGGGCAGACGAAGCCGATGCCGGCACTGAAGCTGGCGCTGGAGTACATCGTGCCCTGCATGAACAAGCACGGCATCTGCGTGGTGGACGACTTCCTGGGCAAGGAGACCGGCCAGCAGATCGGCGACGAGGTGCGCGCCCTGCACGACACGGGCAAGTTCACGGACGGGCAGCTGGTCAGCCAGAAGAGCGACTCGTCCAAGGACATCCGAGGCGATAAGATCACCTGGATCGAGGGCAAGGAGCCCGGCTGCGAAACCATCGGGCTGCTCATGAACAACATGGACGACCTGATCCGCCACTGTAACGGGAAGCTGGGCAACTACAAAATCAATGGCCGGACGAAAGTAAGTGTGTGCTAGGGGTGGGCGCGGGGCGAGCAGCGCGGTTTCTGTGTGTGAAAGGGATTTCCTTCTTGTGCAGCAACCCGTGGAGAAAACGGATATCATCCACCTACTACCGGTTCACGCACTTTGTCTAATTGCATGGTCTTCTGGCTAAACTTAGGCTCCCCTTGAACGCTGCTGTTTTGTGTACACTGTTTTAGTCGCTTCAAACGTCGCTGGAGTTGTAGCCGCGCGATGGGGATTATCGGAGTGCAACCCAGAGCAAGTGCTGGGTTCTGCCTCGGGCTGGTGTTTGCATCGGCTCTTAAAGTCCCCATGCGCTTTGAACCACTCATCAGACTCTGTCTTCCACAGTCCAGGGTTGTGTGTTTAGTTAAGAATCTGCCAACTGACCAAGAAAAGGTACATCTAAAATAAGCATGTAGGCCAAAGACTCCTTGCATTCAGGAAGAGCTTGGCTTCTCCTCTCCCCCTTTTAGAGCTCGCATCCATCTCCCTGTCCCTACTGTTTTGAAACCCGTTACTAAACAGGAGAAGAAGTATTTCCGTTTTCAGACCTCTCTGTGTAGGTAGGTTACATTTTTAGCATAGGTTTCCTTTATTTGCTTTTGTTAGTATAATCCCTCTGTTGAAAAAGAACTGTTTAGCTTCCTGGAAAAAAATACGAAATTGGAGCAGAAGGGATGGCTCACTCTAACGTCTCAATTTGATGAAATCTCTTTGTTTTCTCATTACAGTTGTAGATTTTCCCCTAACAGTTTCTTTTGTTCCTACCTGGTCTAATCCCTCTTATCCCCTCAGTGCAGTAAATGGTAAACTCTTTCCTTCTTTGTACTCTCTTTCCATTTGACTCCCCAGATCTTAGTCTGTCTTTTCTTTGTATCCAGTTCCACTCCAGGCCACTCTACTCCACTTTCTTCCACCATCCATCTCTGTCTGATATTGTGAGTTTGAGGAGATTGTTTAGAGAGGTCATCACACGTGGGTGTTTATACAGACACTGACTGTAGTTCTTTTGTGTGTGTATCACATCGTCTGTTTTGACAGTCGTTATGTGAGACTCAAGGCTGAGCATAGGCAATAAGGAAAGTTCTAAACATGAGAATTTGGTGAGAAAATACAATGTAAAGTCGAATTTATGAACTGCTGCTTCCTTGCTGGATGAAGGCACATGTCTTAATATAGTCTCAAAAAAAAAGTTGAACGCTCACTTAACTTTAAGCTGGAAGGAAAAAGGGGCCTGATTAAACCTCAACTTTGGTCTTTAATGAAATTTTCGTTTACATGCATGTATGTTTTTCAACTTTATTATGAACCAAATCTGAATATAGTCATGAACACTCTAGAGCAGGAAAAGCTTGAAGGCATATTGATATAACAGTACAAAACTGACCAAAGTATGTATGTAGTTGGGGCACAAGCTTAAGGTGAAGTCATGAAAAAGATAGTGTCCTAAATCTTCCTTGATCTGCTTTCCTTAGTTTATTTAGCTTTCCAAATTAAGCTAAATCCTCTTCTCTCCGATCTTCCTGTTTTTAACTGTCCTTCTCAGGGAAGGGATAGCAGTCAGCCGAGCTCTTACAAAAGTGTCTCCTAATGGGGAGGCTGTTAGAAAATAGCCACCCCCTTCCTCAGGAGTGCTTGTGGCTGAAGGGCCATTGAGGTTTTCAATCACCTGACTACACAGATCATGTGAAGGAAGGATGGATTTTAAACTCTTGAGATTTGATCTTACGCTTGCTTACCTTAATTTTAGGGACACAGTTTCAGGATCTGTGAATAGTCTCAGGGACTGCCTTTCATTGTACTTCTTGGATGAGAGAGATTTTGGTAATCTTGTTTGATTGTGTGATTTTAAGCATTCCTAAAAGAAATTGAAGATGCTTGCTTTCAGGAATGGGAAGGCAGTCAAATGACCAGCCACCATATAATGAACAAACTCAGTGTGCTGTTACCAGATTAGGTTCAATACAGACATGGTCACAGTAATTTTAATCCTGTGAAGTAGGTAGTATTATTCTTCCTGTATGTTTGAGGATGTTTTAGCTCCTAGCTGGAGAAGACCTACCACTTAGGATAACGTAGCTGGGATTCACACTTAGGTCATTCAGACATCAAGCCTGGTGCTTTTTCTACCATACTGGATATGGGGAGGATATTAAATGAGAAGATATAGGTTGCTTAGCACACTATTGGAACTAGTGTTTGGTGTACATATTTTGTGAGAGCATTAGCCGTGTATGTGAATAATTGTAGTTATGTTAGGACTATATAAACAGTTTTATTAGGTGACTATACAGTATCTGTTTCAGGTAGTGACTGAAAAGCCAGTTAAATTTATCTGCCTCATCATGCTTATTTCAGTATATCTCTCTCTTTTTAAAAAAAATTCATTTTTGGCTGTGCTGAGTCTTCATTGCTCTGCGGGCTTTCTCTGGTTGTGATAAGCTGGGGCTACTCTAGTTTTCACTGCTATGAATTCTCTTGTTGCAGAGTACGGCCTCTGGGGTGTGTGGACTTCAGCAGTTATGGCCCACGGGCTTAGTTGCCCCATGGCATGTGGAATCTTTCCGGACCAGGGATCGAACCTGCATCCCCTGCATTGGCAGGCAGATTTTTAACCACTGGACCACCAGGGAAGTCTGTTCAGTAAAACTGTTAAGAGAGGCATAATATGGGTGCTATATATTCAGACTGAATAACAACAACGTGATTGCAAGAAAGGGTCTTCGGTTAAGTATTTTATTATCCTTTACAACATTATGGTGACTCTGAAAGGTACTTGCCTTGAACATGTGGTATTTTTCTCAGATTTTCCCAGCAACTCTGTAAAATAGTTAGGTTGTTGGTTTGTGCTACCTATTTATAGATTAGAAAAGCGAGCCTCAGAAAAGTTAGGTCATTTGTTGGAAATCCTGCAGCACGTGTGTGTGAGTGAGACTCTCAGTCGTGTCCGACTCTGTGACCCCGTGGACTGCAGCTGGCCAGGCTCCTCTGTCCACGGGATTCTCCAGGCAGGAATACTGGAGTGGGTTGCCATTTCCTTCTAATCCTGCAGCATACCAGGACTTAAATTCAGGTTTTCTGACCAAAATTTGATGTTCTTCATTTACAGTATCTGTTCTGTATGGTCTTTGTATATGTCAGGGCCTGCTAATGAGATGATGTATAATTTATAATTGGCTGTGGCTCATTTGGTATTTTTTTCAACTTCTCCCAAGTTTCTGCTTCCGGTATGCTTATCTGGCCACTGTTTGTCCAGCTATTTTAAAAGAGGAACTATAAGGGAAGGATGAAAAAAATAGAGGAGCATGAAGGAGAAAAACAGGAACATGATTGTGGTCACTGAGCTTCAGTTTCCACTTTGGTCCTTTTTTGGGATTTTCTTCCTTTCTGCCCTTAAACTGCCTTTAATCCTTTATGCTTTTTCACACCCTTTCTTCCGTCAAGAAGGCTTGCCGTGGCGTCCAAGAGGAGGGAATCACGGCCTGCTCATGTGAAGAGTAACGTTGTGTGGGAAATCATAGGTGCTTTAACTTAGAGTAAGAATAGCAGGTAGAGGAAGAATACAGAGGAGCGCAGGTCCTGGGGAAGTAAGGGACTGTTCAGTAGGAGCTTCTTAACCACTCTGAAGGAAAGCATTTGCCTTAAAAATAAAACTGCTAGGATCATATACGTAGTTTTCGAGTTTTGTCTAAAGCTTACTCTAAGGAGTAATAAAATAAGACCAATAAGCAGCAGATTGTATTCCTGAGATTTTTCACCAGTCCCACAGTTAATTGGGCAGCTCTAGCTGATTATGGCTTTTAGAGCAAAGAACCAGATAAGGAAAGACCTGATCCTTTATCATCACTACCACAGAGATGTGGTGTCAGTCCTCTTAGATACTACAAAGAAAACCAAACAAAACTGTCTCTCAATTCACTTCTGCCACTTTCTCTATACTCTTGGCTCCCAGGATGTACTAGTTGAAGCAGCTTGTTTAATGTTTTAATAGCTATATTATAGTTCAAGATCAAAGTCAATTATTCTGTATTCAGAAAGGCTGAAAACGTTACAACTTAAGTAATAACAGTTTTGCATAATATTTTGTTGTTTTAGAAGAGATGCAGGTGGACTGAAAGAGTAGTCTTTTTTGAAATTTTAGTTATTTATTTCTGACTGTGCTAGATCTTCATTGCTGTGCAGTCTCTTGTTGCGGTGAGGGGGGCTACTCTCTAGTTGTGATACCCCAGCTTCTCGTTGCAGAGCACACGCTCTGGGTGCACTGGCTTCATGCTCAGTAGTTGGACTCCTGGCTCTAGAGCATAGACCCAGTAGCTGTGGCACATGGGCTCAGTTGCTTCGAGGCATGTGACGTCCTCCTGGGTTAGGGATCAAGGTCTCCTGCATCAGCAGGCAGATTCTTTACCACTGAGCCACCAGGGAAGCCCCTGAAAGAATAGTCTTTGTAGGTTGTGACAGACAAGTTCACCTTTGTAGAAAATACATTTTGTATGGTGAATTAGTTCATATGTGGGGTAGTTTCTTTAATTCTAAAGGAGTTTTATTTTAAATTGGCAGATTGTTACTTAAATGTGTATAACTCTTCCTTTATCTCCTATCTGATAAGCGTCAGAAGTGTCCTGAAACACCTTAGGCACACAGGAGGAGGCCGTCTGAACTCAGAAGGATGGTGGACCTGGTGCTGTGATGAGACCTGGGGTGGATCCTGGATCTGCCAGTGTTTCTGTGTCCTTGAGACAGTGGCTTAATCTTTCTGAGCCTCAGTTACTCAATTTGGAAAGTGGTAAATGATGCCTGCCTTTTCTGTCTCTCAGGCTTCCTGTGAGGAGTGTGTATAATCATGCGTGTAAAAGCACTTTTTAAATTGTAAAGCACTATGCAAAACTGTCGTTAACTTTTCTCATTTAAAATTTTCTGATTTCTTTCTTTAAAAGAGTTCTGTGCTTTTCTTGTCTTTCCCTCTTTTTTTTGTCTTTCCCTCTTCAATAAGCTGG